CATCAAAGGCAACTGCAACATCACTGAGGATAAGAGGAGCCAGAATAGCAACCAATGTCAACTCTGTGGCAACATCCCGTGGAAGAGGAATCAATGCACTGTCATCATAATCCTCAAAATCCTCGACAAGCTTGAAGGCCTCGTTTAGTAGGCCCATCATAGGCCGCCGATAAAGGAGCATGCTCCAACTATGCAGCGGTGGAGAGAGGTGGTGGTGTACGCCAAAGAGCGAACCTGCAAAGTCAGAAATGAAAGGGACAGTCTCTTGCCAGCAGGAGCACCAATAGTACAAACTCCATTTTTTACAGCCTCAGGCCCACCATTATTGATGTAGGCCCCAATGACCTTCCCCTCGTGCGCCGCTCTGACGTCTTTCTCGGGAGATCCCAGCAGCTTGTAGTCCTCATAGGCCTGTTGGGCTGTCTGGTATGACTTGTAAGACTGAGAGCTGGGCGAGGGGATGTCATGGTCGTCTATTGATATGCTGAAGAAATCATCGATGACCAAGCCTTCACAACGTGTAGCACTCACGCAGGGACGGTTGGCGACCAACTGGACTCCCTCAGACAGCAAACCATAGCTCTTCAAGAGTCGACTGTGGGCGTCGGTGGCAATCTCGACTCCCCCGTGGTCTCCTTGAAGAATGCTCTGAAAGCTTGCCCAAAGTAAGTCACCCTTGCTGCTCACGCCACTGCTCATAGCCAGTCTGTCGCCGTGACGAGCCCTGGAGTACTTTGTCTTGGCGTTGTTGAAGAGGAAGTGTTGGTAAGCAGCTGTATCTTCAACCAAGGACACGGGCAAACCTGGACCCAAAGTATTGGAGACCGCACGAGCACGTGTAACCCAGATCTGATGGTAAAAAACTCTTCTGTCCGAAACCGACGCATGGATCCGTTGACAGCGAAGGTCGACCACCAGGTCACAAAGGTCCTGGCCAGCGGGAAGGTTCGAAGATGGGCCTCTGAGAACACCTTCAATGGCGTTCCGACCACGACGATCGCCGATCTGCCTGTCTTTGTCAATGGCTTTGTAGCAGTTGAACACACGCACCAACTCAAAAGACTGCCTTGTAGCAACACGGTCCTGATGCAACAAAAGTAGCCCTTGACGATCCCACAGGTGCGCTAACTCAGCTACTGTACCAGCATCGTCACGGATCCTCGGGTATTCCCAAGAAGCAGGTGTTCTCTCCAGCTTAACAGACTCAGGCTCACGGTAAGCCATGACAAGGCTGTCCCCAAGAAACTCTGTCACGTCCCAATGTCCACGGCCATGGAGCACGATTCGACTCGGGTCAAGGTCCCGGTAAGGTTCCAGCTCAGGATATCGACTATTGTCCTGAGGGACATTGCATCCAGCGAAAACTTTCGAATAAGGTGAGGCAGAACAACCCAACTTCGTGAGGAGCTCAGTCACCTCAATCAAGCGTGCAAAAAGCTCTGGATTCTTACGACCAACATGCAAGGCATCAAAAGTTGCAATGAGGCCGTCCGACTTGATAAAGGCTCGAATGCGCCTGTAGAGAGCACGATGGGGCGCACCCGGACCTCTCTGCAAAGCTGACTCATCCACAAAACTGCCGCCAGAGTGCCAGAAGTTGAGAGCCATACAGATCACATGAACTGCACGCAGCAAACCAATAGCTCTCCTCCGACTGCTAGAGTTCTTTGCAGGCATCCTATCAAAGCAAACCAAGGACGGCGAAGGCGTCCTCAAGGTCAAACGCCTAGCTGTACTGATGGAGAAAGCAAGAAAAGAAGCAAAAGCTGTACGAGTCCTCAATACCAGAGTGATCAACTTGGAACACCACATTGGGAAGCTGATATGCCTGACATTGCTGTGCTCAGACTCGTTCAGTGCGTCCGGAGGACAGGATTGAACCTTCGGAAGACCGGCAACATCACCAGCCTTCGGAACTGAATTGAATTCGACCGAAGAAGTGACATCGCTCATTGCTGAGACTCCCCTGGCCCTTTCGGCTTCTTGGGGAATTTGGGCTTGCGCCTTGGACTGGGCGACTCTTCCTCGTTCTTGGGGCTTGCAGCTTGACCCTTCTTTCCCCTTGTTTCCAGCCTTCGGGTTTGTAGCACGTCGATCTCCTTCAGATAGGCCAAATTGATAGTGGCCAATGTAGGAGGGATCAGCGGAGCAAAGGGCCGGCCAGCAGAAGTGATTGACTGCATTCGGTCTTGAAAGAGCACTTGAGGTGGGTCCTCGATGAGGGACAAAACGTAGGCAAGCCCCCAATCGCCGGCATCGAAAGCACTCTGTTCCAATGCCATCCCCCAGCGCTAAGTACTCTTTGGTAGCATAGAAGTCGCCCGCTGCTGCTGAATCCAAGGCGTGTGCGAAAATCCACATAGTCAGGCCCGCTTCCTTTTGGCCTTTGAACCCACCGTACCTCTCCAGGTAGGTCAACAGCGATGGGGCGTTCTTCTGCACCTCCTCCTCCGTTCTTGGGATCACCGTAGATGGATGAAGCCTCCGATAAATCTGCTGTTGTAACGCCAGGAAGAACGTGGACTGCCTGGATGCCAGATCTTGCTGCAGCTTCTCTCTTCTTTGAGTGCCTCTAGTAGAACTCGAGGCGGTTCCTCCTCCGTGATAGTCGATCCCGAAGCTGTCTCCTCCTCCCTGGACCAGGTGTGACACCAAAGCATTCAGAGCCACTGTCTGCTGGGATAGAATCTGTTCCTGGGGATCTGGAGGAGCCTTGAGAGGATCGTAAGGCTCGTCGAATTGCGGGAGAGCGGGACCAGAAATCACTGTGGGGATGCCCGCGTCCGTGGAGGGGGGCCCAGAAGCTGTAAAGCTTTGGCTGGAGACCGGGCAAGCCCGGCCGTCTGGAGCCCTTGGGAAACGGCTGGCATCTTTGGCACGGGACCCGAAGGGGCCAGGGCGGCATGCCCTCGCGCAGGAGTGGCATAGGGTCCACCATCCGCCTTGGGTAAGGCTTGTGCCCCTTCGAGGACCTGGGGCTGGTTCTGCTGGGCAGCAATCAATGAGACTTGAGTTGGATCTGCTCTGCAAGGGCGGCATTTGTAAGCCGCTTGGCAGCTGCCTTCTTGGGAGCTTGCTGTGTCTTTGGTGCCGGCTCTTCTCGAGCGCTGTAAAAATGGACTCTCCCGATCGTCTCTTGCTCAGCCCAAGACATCACCTGGGCAATGAGTGCACTGGTTGATGGCAGAGCTTGGAAATGAGCCTCGTGAAACCCTTTGATGTCTTCAGAAGAGTCCGTCACAGGGTCATATTCTCTGAGGTACTCAAGGATGTCGTTCGAGAAGTCCAAAACCAACACATCACTTCCGAAACCGGCAGGGAACTGAGCACCGGTTTCCTCATCTTCAAAAAGCATCTCAACTTCAAACGTCTGGGCAGGGCCAATGAAGTCTCCCTCATCCACTGTCTCCGTTGATGAAAGGAGGCTCTCCTTCAAAAGGCCAATTGGCAAGGCTAGCATCATCCCTTTTCGTCTCGAAATCAATGGGATGGCAAAAGTCTGAATTCCATCACCACTTGCCGTCAGGTCACCCGGAAGGGAGAGGACAAGCAGAGTGTAGTCCGAACTGTTGGCTGCGAAGATCACTGACTGGCGGTCCATCGCCATAGCGGAGGCACAGCAATAGATGCTCCTGCGCAAAAGATGTGCAATTCAGTGAGCGTCGGGAACTTCTCCACAAACACAATGTCCGGGAAGGCTCTCTCGAGCCGATCTGAATCTGCTTGGGTGGTTGTCCTGACAAAATCCAGGCCGTCACCTTTCCTCAATACCCAGTGAGTCCGAGGGGCCACTCCAGGTCTGTAGGTACTCTGGTAATCTGTGTGACAGGTCCAGAACGCTCGAAGCCAGAACCCTGCACGGTAGGCCTCACGGGCACGTTCCTCAGTCCCTGACTTGGACGAAGAGAGATGCTTCTTTGCGAGCTGGATGCAAAACTCTGGAGTCTCAGGGGGGCCCTGCTCGAAAGCAACGTGCGGAGGGTGCCTCAAAAACTCTTCTGGAACTCCCGGAACTGCTGTGCTTTCCTGAACCAACTCCCACTGCAAATTCCCTCCACTCCTCAAATCCAGATCAACACTACTAGAAGCACCACCTCGATGAGCGACAAGATCACGTGTGACTAGAGTGAGCTGCTGGATGGCTTGCGTGAGGTCTCGGAGATCCTGAGAAAGCCGGTCACTCATGCAAGTAGGCCCGAAGTCGCCGAGGATGTGGGGACTGAGGCTCACGAGAAAGATGAGCCGAGGAGGAATGAGCAAGAAGGAGGGGCCTGAGGAAAGTCCAAGCGGCCCAAAATCCAAAAAGTGCACCGAGGATGAGACCGACGGAGACACCTGAAAGGAATGGGATGAGGGCCGAGGGATAGCAGTGCACCGGACAAGTAAGGGTGCTAGACAAGGAGATCAGCGAAGAGGCTCCCTCAAGGACAGCACCCCAACACCACATGCACCTAGAGCTTGAGAGGAACGTCACAGCATTCGTAGTTAGGTGGTCATATATACCAGCGGCATATTGCGGAGCTGGAGCAGCACAAAAAAAGAAAGGTATGCGCCGCTTCTGCGTTTCCCTTTCCCCCCTTTCATTGACTGATGGCGTCACATGATCTCAGCGAAAAATAAGAGACATGTCTGCTGTCCGCTGTTCTAAACACTCGGGCAAAACGGAATGTTTTCCGCTCCCGAAAGCATGATATTATATGGTACAACATTGTGACATTTTGTGTAAATAGATACCCCCGGGCATCAGAAAAAGCCAAGAACTTGACCAAACGGAATGCGACAGGAGTCTGATATATACACGTGAAGAATACAATGCAAACCTGGGGGTGCAAGGACCGCACTTTTGTACACACAATGATCGGCACAAGATTCAGCGGAACGCAAGCAAAAACCTTTGGAATGTCTAGTAGCAAGAAGCAGTAGCAAGTGCATCGCTACTAGTAACAAGTGCATTGAATAATATAGTTCGTTCAATGTGTGGCGTGGTCCAGGGCAGCTGCCAAACCATCGCGAACGAGTTCTCCAGTCGCTACTATTTCATCCTTCCATTGAGTGAGAGAAATGATTTGACGAAAAGAAGCAACAAAAGGCATGCAGCGCATGCATAACACAAGGCATACTTCAATCAACAGGATCCAACAGTCAAAAATCATTCTGCTGTCCTCAATGGGAAAATGGCTCTGTTGCACTTGCAGTTGGCCCAAGCCTGCAGCTTCCATGCAGGAAGCACATGATAATATCACAAGCTGCAAGAACATAGCTTTGACGCAAAAGGAGAAAGGGCCGGACTCGAGTTGTAGCTGACCTCGGCTCTGGCTTTTTGTGGCTTTGGTGGAAAGGGCTGTTCGGTAGAGCAAAGAAGTGTTGCCGCCAAGGTGCAACACTGAAATCCAAGGTGCCACCCCAATCTGAAAGAGACAGCGCCACCTCCGCTCTAGAGAAGTCAGACACAGGTCAGACTAGGCCTTTGCAATTGAGAGGTTTGAGGTGGCAACCATGCGGCTCTGCCCAAAGTCCCACACTGCATTGAAGAGCATACGACTTAGTACACAGCACATCTCTGATCTGCTTCTGTTCACTAAGGTGCTGAGACAAAGACTCCAGGCGGACATCATAGCTAAATTCCGGCCGTGACTGGCAAACATGGCAAGCAAATTGTTTACATAGATGGCTTCTGGGCTGAAACCGCTAAATTAAATCGCTGAAATGTGGTGAAAAAACGGACAAACGGAAGCATCCAAAACCTAGTTGTGCACCTCCAAGGCATTGACAGCATGGATATAGTTCCTCAGCTGTCTGTCACTACCAGCCTTGCCCACTGCTTATCAATGAGCGGCATTGCCGCACCTGATGGGAGGATCAGCTGGAGACGGCAAACGTACCTACAAGCAGTGGTTGCACGTTGTGGTGTGGTCGTAATGGTTCGCCGTCACTTGCCCCACTGTTTGGCAATTTCTAAGTGAAAGGCAGTCACAATGGAATAAAGAAGTCGTCGGGAAACGTCGTAGGTAGAGGGCCTAAAGCCAGCCACACATGCTTGATTGCTTCTGTGTGTGTGTGTGTCTGTGTGCCGTCGCTAATCTGGGGCTGAAACGACATGGAAGATCGATAGTCGTACTCTCTGAAAACCTTTACAGCAATACAGCGATGGCAGCTTGCTGAACACTCGTGCACAAGCTGTTACGCAATAAGCATCCCTCAATCGCACCTCCCATGAAGTTGGGCTGCAGCCCCCTAACACCTAGCGCGTAGGTGGCTTCGGGAGAACACAGCACGGGGCATCGACTACCCTGACATGCTGGCCTCTGTCATGGGCAGCAACGACTCATCCAAACCACAGCGACACAAGGGCAGTTGAAGATACGCCTGCCGAGTACTCAGAATCCGTAAAGGTCAACTGGTTAACTCTTCTTCACCCGTGGGTCTTCGGCTCTCTGAGAACACCACACTTAAGTGTGGTCTGAATCCACACCAACCACACCAATCCCAGAGCCAAAGCTCCATGGAGCATGCACATCGTTCACCAAAGGAACAACTTCCATGTGCACTCAATGCTGGCTGCGGTTTCACTCTCACTGACTTGCCACAGCCTGTGTCTTGTTGCAGAATTGCACACATTCAGTGGCAGTCATAACTTCGCTAATGCCTGCGGATGGTCTTTCTGCACAGCAGAAAACGTTCAAAGTTCAAGCTGAGGTGACAACGTTCTGCATATGCCAAAGGGCTCTCCTTGCCACAGAATTGGGTGAAGGGCTACACAAGAGGTTTGATCATGAGTTTATATGGTTTTGCATCTTCACTGTCTGAAGTCTCTCGCAGTGCGGATTGTCTGAGGTTAAAGCCCACTGGACCAAGAAACATCCAATGCGGACATGCCGGGCTAAACTCCAGCCTACAGGTCGACGCATTCTGGGCCGAAGCTCAACTCCAAACAAGAAAAACAACAAGACTGACAGGGAGGTGCGCAGAATTCCCCCACAAAAATGCAGTGTAAAGGCTTCAAGCCTTCTGCTCAAGCTATCTCAGGCTCATAATGTGGATTTTGAATTAGACTATTTAGACTAGCCTTCTAGTGGGCTGTAGTTCAGGTCAATCTTCGCCTTGGTTGGCCAACTGCGGTGCCAGAGGCTCGGCTTGAAGCTTTACCTAGCCTTGGCAAGCCTTGCTGAAAAAACTTCGCTGCACGCTCCTGTTTCCTACATGTCATCTCCATGCCCTGTCTCTATGGCAACCTTCACAAACTTTCTGCAGCTACCTCTGAATGCCCAACTGAGCTCCAAACCCAGTAGTCATCTACATGAGTGGAGCCAGACTCAGAGTTGTTGAAATTCACTACCTGCCATACTCGTGCTGGTCTCATCAGATCCAGTGGATATGCGTACTTTCGTGCTCCCCCCTTCTCTCTCCCTCTCTGCAGGACCTCTCTCTCTCTCTCTAGCTGTTTCATGTGGTAGGCAGCATCTACTGAAATCCAGGACAGCTGGCACCCTGGTTGGATCATCAAGCACCAGGAGCTGCTGCTCCGAGAAAACTTCGAAACCATGCACCTTAACAACTCTCCGCTGGAGGGCAAATGAACCAGCCGAGGTCAACAAGCAGCCATCGCTTGAAACGCCTCAGAAATTAGAATGTTGGCGGGTCTTAGCCAAGGACGATGAAGCCGGTGAAGAAGTAGACTGCCAAGTACCCTGTCCTGCAACGTGGCGACGTCAGCAAGCTCATCACGCCCCAAGGCATGCTGGATTCACAGGCTTCCCAAGATTTCCCAAGCACAGCAGTCTTCGCCCCTTTTCTCGACAAGAAGGCCCGCTGAGTTTGAACAACTGTCTACCTTTCAAGAGCTTAGCTCATACACGCTGTCTGGTGCCAAGTTCGTTTGCAAGTCTTAGCCATCAACGAAAGCACGCCTCAAAAATAGCGGCTTGCACAAGAAATTCCGACCAAGCTGGGCATTGTGGCAGGGAATCCTGCTGCTCTTGCAAAATGGGCCGCACGGAACTTAGATGGCAAGCGAGCATGACTGCTCCAGTGCATCCTTTAAAATCCAATACAGCCGCGTGTCCACGTGCTGTTCGAAGCACTCGGACAACCATCGATAAATGCCGGAAGCTTACATGCCGTCCATCCCGACGGCCATGCGCATGCACCTCTATCTTGCACATGCACTGTACACCAGTGCAGAATGAACACACACACACACACAGAGAGACACAACGCCTCTTTGAACATACGTCAATTTGATCCAAAGATTCCAAGGCTTTCATTCATATTCTTGGAATTTCTTGGATGTTTCCAAAACTGCAATACAATGTGCACATCCCGCACTTCTTCAAGTGTCTTGCACTCTGGCTTCATTCACTTGCACCATGCACGTACGGGAAGCGGACACATTGGCAACTGAGTTGTACCGCCTGATCACAGCTCATTTGTCTTGCCAATACTGTCATATTATATATGTCATATTGATATTGGATCTGAACACTTCCAGTCTGAAAGCACACATGTCGCCAGTTGTCCACCCAAATACAGCACCTTTCAGGAGCTGATCACTGCAAAAAAAATACTGCGCTGTCCACAAAACTGGCTGTACTTCCAACTTCGAATACTGCTGGGCAGCACGGGCAAAGCGAAGCTACACCATGAAGCCATCAATCAACATGAAACCCTTTAAACAACAAACATGTTCCATCCTTCTACTGCAGCTTGAAGTCAATCACCTTGCCGCTTAGAATTGCCAAAACCGGCAATTGTCACACTGGGACAATCCTCTGCAGTGGGCATCGCCTGCCCATCTAGCGCAACTTCACAATGTTCTTCCCGGACAGCATTGAAGCGCCCAGCGGGCAAGTCAAGTCCGAAAGACTGCATTTCTACGGTTTTTCCCAATGCTAAGCTACATTGTCAAATCACTGGTTTGCTTGTCAAATCACTGTTTTGCTTGCTGTTTTTGTATTTGATGTGCCTTTGTCTCCGCATCTCAGCAATGCTGCAGTTCAAGTATTCACGCCAGCCCGCACGCCAACTAAACCCTTCATGGACGCCAAAAGCGCCATTTTGTCACTTCATTGCCTCCGACATCGGTCAGCAACAAGGGCATCGCTACTAGGAGCAAGGGCATCGCTACTAGTAACAAAGGGCATTACTGCTAGTAGCATTCTTACTCCCAGGTCCTGGTAACAAGAAGCTACTAGTAGCAAGGATCCTTTTTGAGTTTTTGTGAATACACAATCGCACGCGTGGACACTTGACGTTTGTGAGGAAGCCTGATCATGCATGTCGCTGGTCCCAAGCTTGAAAACTTATATAAGCTGCCTGCACTTGTTGATGGCCCAAGTGGAGATTGATCAAACCGTAATGTATAAAAACCATTTCAAGTGAAAAAACCTTCGGCACAAAGGCTGCAAGGAAGATGCGGGCAGCAAGCACAGCCAGCTCATCCCTGCTCATCTCTTAGTCACCCCAACAACCCCAAACTAGTTTCAATCTTACCGCCACCTGAGAAGGTCAGGAAGCATTGGAAATGGAAGCAAAAACTGCAGAATGATGGAATATGATTGGAATATGAATATGTGAGAAAAAGCCACAAGGGAATGCAATCAATAGGCAACCTTTTCTCCAGCGATTCTGTTGGAAAAACGGCACGGAACAGAAAGCAAAACAAACCCTTCTGTGCCAACGCTGCAAGAAGTATCCGGCCAGCAAACACTGCCAGCTCATTCCGCAGCAATAATTATCAGCAGAATCACCCAGCCACCCGCCACCCCAAATATAATTTCCACCACCCGTCGCCCGTGGTCTCGGAGATTAACCAACCTGAAGGATTTTGGATACAAGTGGAGGTTGCAAGGGTCTTTGTCACCACTGTCGCACAAGTACACTTTTATAAAAGCACGGTCTTAGAATCTGAGAAGTATCCGCATCTTTTAGCTTTCTTCTTACCTTCATGCAGGCATTTTCGAGGGTGACACCTTGCAAAGATGTGTACATGTGTGTGTACCGGCCCCAGCTGGCCTTTAAAGGTTCCCTTCGCACCTTTCTCATCCATAAGCACAACTCCTCGGCATCTCAGTGCATTCTAATGGCAATTTAAGACGACGCCAGAAAGCAGCACAGTTCATCAGACCCAGGCCTCGCTGCCTCAGATGCTCCCGGACTTCATCTGCCTTCTTAAAGTTGGCAGCTTTTCGTGCATCATTGCCTCGAAGGCTTCAGGATGCACTGAGTGCGGTTCTGAAAGCGTTACTAGGATCAAGGCGAAATCCAAGTGCTTCAGATTGTTGAGGGGTAGTGACAAGAATGGGTGTATATAGTTTTTATGGTAATAGTTTTCCTTTTTTTCTGGGCGTTGTTTTCGGGTGTTTTTCTGGGAGTGCTTTAGAAGCATCAGGAGCAGCAAACGGGTCAGGAGAAGAAGCGAGCAAGCGGGAGGGAGAGAGCGAGACAGTGACAAAGGGGAGGGAGAAGAAAAAACATGAGAAAGCAAAGGGGGATGAGCAGCGAGGAAACAGGACAAAGGAAATACTGGGTAGGGCACGCTTAAAAAGCCAAAGGAAAGCAGAAGAGCAAAGCAGGAGAGATCCCTCTAAATTCTAGCCGGGGCTGGCTTCCAAGAGCTATGCTACATCGGGCTGCCTCTATCCTCGCCTAAATGTTAACCTCGAGTGGCTCAAACAAAGTCTGCTACCTTGGAATGGCCCCTGCATCCTCTTTGCGTTCACAAAAGGTCTGCAACGTTGGAATGGTTACTTCGGCTTCTAAATGTTACCTCGCATGGCTCACAAAAGCTCTGTCACGCTGGAGCGGCACGATCCTCCTCTTACCCTCGGGTTCCTCCTCTAAATTTTAGCCCCGGATGGCTTATAAAAGTTCTGCTACCTTGCTCCTCTGAATTTTGTCCTGGTGGCCCAAAAGGTCGGCTCTTTTGGAGAGGTTCCCTACTCCTCCCAATTTTACCCGCGGGTGCAATACAAATGTCTGCTCATTGGAGTGACCCCTTCCTTCTATGAAGCCTGCCCTCTGCTGGCAGCCTGCAGCCTCCTCTAAATGTTTATCTTCGAGTCGCCCACAAAAGGTCCGCTACCTTGGAGCGGCGCTTGCTCCTCTAAAGTTTACTCTTGGGTGGCTCACTAAAGGTCTGCTATTTTTGACTGGCGCCTTTCTCTTCTCAATGGGTCCTGCCTCTTCTCAAATTTTACTCCAGCTGGCTCACAAAAGGTCTGAGTCCTCTAATTTGACCCCCGGCGGCCTTCAAAAAGGTCTGCTACGTTGGCACCTACTTACCTTCCTCCTTTAAAGTTGCCTCTTTGGCGGCTCATAGAAGGTGTGCTACGTTGGGATGGGGCCACTTGCAGCAACACGCGGCCTGTACTGCAAGCAGCACAGCGTTGGAAGCTGGCCACTTGCAGCAACACACGCTCGTTAGACCCTGGCCACTGCAAGCAGCGAAGCTTTGGAAGCCGCTGGTGACGTGCAGCAGCACAGGGTCTTTACTGCAAGCAGCGTACAGGGTCTTTTCTGCAAGCAGCGTTGCTTTGGAAGCTGGCCGCTTGCAGCAAGCAACACACACCCGTTAAAGCCTGGCCTGGCCACTGCAAGCAGCCCAGCTTTGGAAGCTGGCCACTTGCAGCAGCACGGGGTCTTTACTGGAAGCTGCACAGCATTGGAAGCTGCCCAGTTGCAGCAGCACAGCTTTTTCTGAAGCCTGCCCAGAAGCGAAAGCAAAAGCAGAAGCAAGAGCAAATGCAAAAGCAGAAGCAGGAGCAAAGGCAAAAGCAGAAGCAACAGCAAAAGCAATAGATTCAATAGCAAAATCAAAAGCAAATGCAAAAGCAAAACCAAAAGCAAGAACGAAACCAAAGCAAAACCAAAAGCAAATTATGCAAAAGCAGTAGCAAAAGCAAGAACACGTCCTAAAACAAAAACAAATGAATACTAGAAAATTATGCTAAAAACAAATATACATGTAAACAAATAAAAAACTCCGAGAGAAAAACTGGTTCCGACAAGAATCTCTCTACCCCCCTCAGGACGTTGGCAAACCCCCATACCAGAACGAGTCGTGCGGGAAGTCACAAATGCGACCAGACTGCGTTCTTCAATGAGTCGCTCGATCTCCTCATCTGAGGGAGCGCCAGCTGGCCGCTCGCCCCGATTCCTGAAATTGAAATATTCTAGTGGTGAGATACACAACAGAAGATATGAGAACATCTGGTAGGAAAAGTACTAAAGTAACAGTACGCAATTCTTGCAGTGAGGGCCGAACCCAACAAAAGATCCAGATCCAGGTAGCGGCGATGGTTTTGCTGGAATCTCCGGCCCGAATGTGCCTTGAAATTGGCTTATTGGCTCGAAAAGCATCTCAAATCGCAAGTCTTCTAGACCAAATAATTCATCTATAGTAAAAGATTTGACAACACAGCACCCACCTTTCTTGGAGATCTTCACCTCCAACTCAGGAATCGGTTTCCCATGCTGGTGGCAAAAGGCCTGCGGCCAGCATGTGTCACTGGACTGGGATCGGTTAGGCAAAAGTACACACTTTCGAATCAAAAAGGTGCCTTGTAGTCTGCGTGAACCTTCTGCAACTGCGTTTCAGCGTATTGCACTGCCTGCGGGAACCAAGAGGATCACAAGTGTCAATAGATCTTCCACTTTCTGCTGGTTGGCCTTGTCAAAAGCTGCCTGGTCCCGACAAGAAATGCAAAGTGCCAAAGGCTCCTCAGGTCTGGAGAAGCACCAGAAATGCATATTGCAAAACATGCGCCAAACGGTGAACGCTACTAGGAGCAAAGGGCATCGCTACTAGGAGCAAGGACACTACTAGGGGCTCCTGGCCTTGCTACTAGGAACAAGAACGCTACTAGGAGCATCCATCAAAAGTCCGGTCCAAACTGCCAAGTGTCATCTCCCTCGTGGGGCCCACCAATACCTTTGCCACGCAGCCTGGTCTTCCCGCCGTGTTCTTGAAACTTCGGATCCTGCATGGAATTTGACATAACTTCTACAGTATATTAACTATCAGTCTCTGAGTTCTTCCAAGTTTGCGATGCCAAAACCATAGCATGTCAGTGCTCAATCACCTGCCAAATGGATCGCGCAATTTGGATCACCCTGCTGCCAACGCGAAACTCACCCTCGTTCTCCTAGGCCAGGACCAAAGGCAAAAGGGGCGGTGAAAGCTTCTCAAAACGTGTCTGTTCCGTTGCCCAAGAAAAAACGGTTGCGGCCAAATTACAATACCCACTTCAAGTTTGCAGGTGAACTTCTTTGGCTGGCCTGATGCAAAGTTCACATTGACTAGCAAAGATTGAGGTTCATAACAATGCTCGTATGAGTTTTGGTTAAGGTTGCCTGCAGCAGACTGAGATGGGCTCGTTGTGGCAGGGGGCATCGTGGGCATTTGATAACCTAGACTGACTGTCTGACTCGCTCTGAAACAAGCCAATAAATTCAATGTTGGCCTGGTCCAGGAGGCATCATCGGGTTCATGAATGGATTCCTCAAACTTCGGATTCTGTGGATGACTCCCGTAATGCCTAATGCCAAACTATGTAAAATTACATACAGCATTGGTCAAAGCAGGAGAAAGTGTCAAAGCCGAGAGGCGATGCTGCCGCCATGTGCTGCAGCAGTTGAGGGTCCGGTGCTGGAGGTACAGCATTGTATCCTGCTTTTGCGAGGGGTGAGGTTGTCCCAAGTGTACCTGCAATTCCGTCCTTGAGGATAGGCAAACTCCACAGTCAAGTATGCCCCAGACATACCTGCCAAAAAATCAAGTCTAGTTTCAACGGCTAACCTGTCTCGCGAAGAAGTCCGCAACTTCAAGCTAACGCGGCCTCGCCTGCAAGCTGCTTTTTATCCAAATCATGTTGAGCTGCCATCGCTTGGTGGGGCTGCGCAAATTGAACCTGATACACGAGAACAAGTAGCAGCAGAACTGCATGGAAACATGTGTGTGTATGTATATATAGATAGATAGATATATATATATATAGCCGTGATCTAGCAGCTTCGCAGGTTGCCTGCGAAGTAGTCCCCTCTCGGTCCATTTTCACCAAGACAACATCGCCGTAGCGCGAGAAAACCTCCCAGAACCAGCTTTGACTGGCAAGCTCAAAGCCCTTGCAAGAATCATATGCTTGGCACGGTGGATGACACACCTTGCGTACATCGTCCTCTGTCAGCTGATACTCGAATTTGAGCCCATCGACTCGTACCGTCCTCAAGTTCTCATGAGTTCTCCACAGCGGAGAACAACACTGCAGGAAAAGACGCACAAAGCCACGCAAAGAACTGCTGCCCAGAAGCAACCATGGAGAGACAACCGGTGGAGGTGGACTTGCCCACCTGAACATCAAAACGTCAATCTCCAAGTGTTATTTTATTGAAATCAAAGCTGTCACATAGACCCCTACAAACTCTGCTTAGGCTGGAAACGGCATTGGCATGTTGGGCATGCCAGGCATTGGTGGCATTGGGGAGCCCATTGCCATGGATTGCCACCTGAGCATTGCGGAGCTTGCCAGGAAGCAGGAGTTGGTGTTCGACACTCTAAGCAACACACATCATCGCGGCCAGATTTTGCCTAGGCCGTGAACACAACCACGCACACACACACACACTCTGACATTGGTATTCAGTTACACTCAGTTCCCACGTTGGGAAGGAAGGTGATGGAACGGCATGGCGAAAGAGTCGGCAAGAACTGTATGGTTGAACAATGTTTGCACTTTGACAGTCAGTGTGGTTGCAAGTCTGCTGCAAGTCTGCGGTGGGAAACCTGTTTGAGGGGAGAGTATCGTGATCAAACACCATGGCACCAAACCACAGCAAGGAAGAGTGGGGTAGTGTCACGAGCAGGTACACGGAAGTGATCAGCTTCCGCTTCCTAGGATCTTGCAAGGAGCTTCGTTGGGCAGAGCCTTGCAAGTCCTCTCTGCCCCCCTGTTTTGGAAAATGGTGGTGACGGTAACGATGGCAGTGAACCCTTTGGCACAGGGGGTGACACACACAAGGCGCCGCTTCGCGGCGCGCATGTGGAAAACCTAAATAGTCACCTAAAAAGCCTTAGAAACAAGAGAAAAGAAAGACAGAAAGAGCAGCGCTAAGAGGGCAAGAATAAAGAAAGATAGGTGTAGGAAAAATGAATACTTAGCCCTTGACTGGGGTAGGGAAACGAGCCTCAAGAACAACCTAAAAAGCCTGAGAGAAAGCCCAAGAAACGACCGAAAGCGTAAGAAGGAAAGCGGGGGGCAGGGAAGTGTATGTACATGTGTGTGTCCGTGTGTGTGTGTGTATGAATACTTAGCCCTCTAGAGTTACTGATTACTTAGCAGAAATGAATTACGTGCAATAGCTAGGGAGCGGGACTTTAGTCTTAGACCGCCCGGGTAGGAAAGACTAGAAAAGGAACAACACAGGGAAAGGCACCGACACACAAGTGTGTCGAGTACCATTTCCCTATGTTGCCCTAATTAGGTAGGGAGTAGAACTCAGCTGGGGGGGGGGTTGGGAAACCTGCCTCATTGGGGGTAGAGTACCGTTTTATAGCCCGGCGGCTGACCAAGTAATCCCGTGTTTAGGCCCGGCGGCCGTTGAGGCAGTTAATTCGTTGGAAGTGGATGTGAATTCCAGTGAAATTCCGGTGAGCGGTGGTGAGTTCCGTTAATGATTTCCCAATGAAACAGCGCCCCAGTGACGGGGATCACACTCAGCACCCGAGTGGGACGGCTGAGCGAAACACACTCTGACATTGGTATTCAGCTACACTCAGTTCCCACGTTGGGAAGGAAGGTGATGGAACGGCATGGCGAAAGAGTCGGCAAGAACTGTATGGTTGAACAATGTTTGCACTCTGACAGTCAGTGTGGTTGCAAGTCTGCTGCAAGTCTGCGGTGGGAAACCTGTTTGAGGGGAGAGTATCGTGATCAAACACCATGGCACCAAACCACAGCAAGGAAGAGTGGGGTAGTGTCACGAGCAGGTACACGGAAGTGATCAGCTTCCGCTTCCTACTAGGATCTTGCAAGGAGCTTCGTTGGGCAGAGCCTTGCAAGTCCTCTCTGCCCCCCTGCTTTGGAAAATGGTGGTGACGGTAACGATGGCAGTGAACCCTTTGGCACAGGGGGTGACACACACACACACAGCTTCTTGCATTGCATGTTCTTTTTGCTGGACGACTTTTCATCAAGACCAAACCGGATGACCTGGGTGTCAATACCAGTATAGTCTGTACACCATTGTTGGCTTGTCTGGCACAAAATTTCGAACAATAGTCCCCGCCAGGGTCTACTGGAGAAGCTGTTCAATCATACATACCCCCCGGCCCCTCATCTCATTTAAGTTCTGTCAGAAGTGCTGTTCCTGGCTCATGGCCGGCGCTTGTTCCATCTTTGGCGTATCGAAATGCCTTCCAAATGGAGCTGAGAACAAGCACGTGCATGTTCAATGAGCTCAGCAAGACCTGGCCTGGCAAAACCCCTACGCCTGCAACACGGTACAAATAAGGGCCCAAGTGAGCACCTTGGCATCCCGGGTCTTTGAGCCAAAACGGGTGGCGAAGTTGCGGAAACTCTCAAAGCCTCTCAGATCCGATTGGCAGAAAAAATGACTTGAAGTGGTTTTCGAAGCCACAACAACCCTCACCAAACAATAACTGATAGCGCCTCCGTAACTTCCACCATTGGAACATCACTGAAACTGCCTGACGCGAGGAGCTGATCTGGATAAAGCTTTCGACAAGGGTTGAAGCGGTTGAAGCTGATGAAAGAATGGAGAAAAACATATAAAAACTATCAGAGAGGAGAATGGAGAATGGATCTGAATAATTTCAATTGAGTTCATGTCTCAAGAACTCTGTGAGTCATCTTCCTGGTCATCTTCCTGATTTACGCAGCTCCTGGGCACTTTTTCCCGACTCTTCAACCAGCAAGCCACTGCAACAGGAGAGCATTGAGTTACGACAGCTATGTACAGATTTTGACTCATCTCTTGACGTTCTTGAGGCACTGCGGATGTGTTTTCTGCTGCGGCGTCAAGGTTAAATACAGAAAAGGGTCCCATCATCCCATCAATTCCTATCCGGACAGGCGTTCCCTTCGAGAGCTTCTTGAATTCCTTTCTCCTCACCAGTTGCATCACCATTTGGTCCACTCCTGGACTCAACCGTTACGTCGCCTCAGCCTGAGGCACCATCGCACTTCTCAGAATGGACTTCCCGCACTCGAAATTCCAACTCCTCCACGTTAGCGGTCTCACATTCCACACACAAATCCTTGCAACAGGCAGAGGGTGCAAAGGGTGCGTTCGTCTCGACACCTCTTTTTTTGCATCAGTTCTCTGCAGTCTGCACCGTGGTTTCCAATTTGCATGGAGTTGTTGCAATGGTTTGGACTCATGCCTCAGCCACACCATGCAACCGAGTATCTTCAACACGCTCATGCAAACGTGCCCTCTTTCCATCACTACAAGCAAATAGACGCTCGGGAGCTGCAAGGAGTGCTATGCAATTTCCAACGCAAAGTTCCAGGCCTCAGCGATATGATATATTATGTGTATATACATATGTCCTTGAAACGCTAGTAGTAACAGGTGCCACGCTAGTAGTAACAAGTGCCTTACTAGTAGTAACAATGTTTGCTATTAGAAACAAGCCTTTAGCCCGCTCCCCCCCTGCCCATTAAGTAGGCGCCTACTTGATTAAGTAACCGACTAGTAAGCTACTAGACTAAGTTCGCTCCTGGGTAGGATAGCTCGCGCTAATGATTTGGTTTCTAGATTTTTAGGCTATTGAGTGTTTACGCAACTTTAAGCAAACCCTAAGCAACTGCAAACCTTAAGCAAGTACAGCCAAGACTTTATTAAACTAACCTTTTCTGTTTAGAAAACACTCTCTGAAAGTCTATGAAAACATTAAAGTTAATGGAGTAGTAAGTCTATGAAATAACTACTGTAGCTCCGTCAACCAAAACTCTTTCATCGCCGACTGTTTGGAGGTTCTTTTGAACCTGTTACTCTGTGACGTTTCCCAGCATGGGCCGCGTTGTCGCAAAATTGTCATCCTTTTGACAATAATCTTAGTGTTGCTCTCACGACAAGGTGGGGTGGGTGGTTTTCACCGTTATCACAACCTCCCCACGTTTTCACTGCATTGATAATGTCGCTGTCTTCACAAGAAGGATTGAAAGGGGGACAAGGCCAGAGAAAACTCGCACGTCGGTGCAAAAGTAGAGCTCAATAGGTGGTGCATCTGCCTGGTGGATGCAAGTTCCAGATCCTTTGATGCCACAAGTTCTCTTGCAAACACTTGGTTCCCAATAGGCGCCAGCATAGCACAAGCACTCTTCTTCCACAGCCGCTTCAGCTGGACCAGCTGGACGCAAGCGGCGCAAAGCTCAGATGCCCAGCCACAGCTGAGAAGGCCCGACCAAACTAGCCAATTCTGCAAGGTCTATGCCTATGCATATGGAGTTGCTTGGACTGGACGCTTGAATGCAAGTGTGATGGCGCAAAACTTGTCTGTGGAGACAAGGTTTATATACTTGCTTCTTATCAGCTGGGAAGGCCAAGTGAAATCCTGCAAGTGCAAGCCCTGGAGCTTGCTCTAGGGAGAAGCGGCATGAACTGTGCACTGTGGGGAGCCACACAAAAAGCATGTTGTCTATAGTTCCCCAGTGTGAATGCATTTTGTGACTACATTCCCTGGAAGCGTTATTTGCTTTTTGTGCAGGTGCATGTGGAAACCCATGATGACATGCCCCATAAGCTGGCACAAATGGGGCACTGGAGAATCAAACCAATCCTCCTCGAGATGACCTGACCGACCCTCGCCGCTTTTGGGACTTTGCCCCGGCTTTGTTTTTGCTGTCCATGCCCCGTCACCGCCGTATGCGTTTGTCGTTTGCGAGTACGTCATGCAATGTGTTTGTGGTATTTGTGGTGTTTCCAAGTACTAGCATGGCCACTGGGATGTATGTGGCAATGCATTGCATGTCATGTTGTGACGCAAGATGGGGTGGGGGGGATGGGTTGAGGGTGAATGACGTTCATTTGGATGCGCTGCTAGGATGATGCCGCATGCATGGGGCGACGCTTGTTACCGCCCCAAATGAAGAACAGAAGCAAAGTTTCTGTGAACAAATGGTTCTGGGATCGAGTGTGTCATGTTGTACCGACATAGTCGCCCTCGAAGAAACCAGCAGCAAGTTTACCGTGAATGTCATTGAAACAACCTTGCGTTGTCCTTCCTCTGAAATAAACTTCCCAAATTGTACCAAAAAACTTTGCTTTGGACTTGAACAAAAAAATATATATATATGTGTGTGGCTTCCTTAGTCCGGACACGAAAACAGCAACGTGACACACCTTTTGAGATACAATGGGTGCCTGCTCACTGCTATGAACACCTCCCGATTGAGTGTATCTCAGAGGTCATGGCTGCATGCAAACAAATCGACGGTGCGTCATATTGCTCACAACCGAATCGCTGATCTCACAGCAAAAGAATATGCTAGCACTATGTCACTAACTCTGCGGTAAGTCCTCATATCCAACATGGCGCAGATGCGGCTATCGAACGATGGTTGGCTAGGCTTCATGAGTTGCTGCCCACAGATACTTCGTTGCTTGACTCGAACCTACCTGAGCCAGAAGAATATGTGGACTCGATGCTGCTCCGAACACAATTTCCACAGTGGGCATCGAGTGCCAACATTGCATCATACAAGTGGAAGCCGAAGATTCCATTTGGCTTTCCAAAACCCACACGATGGGATGGTTCCGCTGCTGAATGGGAAGTTGTATGTGATTCTGAGTGATTCTTGCGTAACTTGCGATGTGCGAGCTCACTGTCCTTTTTCACCATCTTGGTTATCAACTTGGGGAGGATCCACAAAGGTCTACACACCTTGATTACCACAGAAAGTTACGTCATGCCATTGTGTTGCTTGGACGAGCTGACGAAGTGCAAACTACTCCTGGTGAATATTCGGCGTCACTTGCTAAGGCGGCAGGACGAACTATGCCTCAAGGGTCGGTCGTTGGAGCTACCGTTTTTATTGATGATGCTGCATTGGTTCACTTGGCACGTGTTTTTTCGAGAGGTGGACGTACGCTGGCCACATGGGATGCGCCGCTTCTTTAAATCGCTTTTTGATGCATGCTTGCTGGATCGCCCGAGGCTGATCCTTGTCATGTCGGGGTTTCCTTTTGTACACAGGTCAGGGTACCTGGTACAACACCGGGCACGTTTCCCGTGCAGATCCCGGTGCGCGTAGTGATATACACTGGGGTGCCAAAAGTTGCGCTTCTTGACTTCTAAAACATCACAAACCCTTTCCCCTTAGAATCCTACGTGCAACATGTCGACACCTCAGTTGCGGTCGGATTTCCACACCTGAAAGCCTTATAAATATTATAAATTTAAACGGGTGTGGAAATCTGACCGTGCTGTACCTGCCACGCAAAATGGACGTGTTAATCCGATCCGCTGTAGACCGCAAGTGTCATGTTGGAACAGAGTAAGAAGCGTAAACTTTAGGGTTCTTGAAGGGTGCTGTTTGTGTTTTTAAGAAGGTGCTGGAAATAACATAAGTT